TTCTTCTTCTTCTTCTTCTTCTTCTTCTTCTTCTTCTTCTTCTTCTTCTTCTTGAGTTGATGTGTGGGGGCTCTAATGGCCTAGAGGTTAAGGTGATCGCCTCTTATTCAAAAGTTCCGGGTTCGAATCCGGGTAGCGACCGAAAAATTTTCTTTTCTAAAATTGTCTCCTTTCACCTCCTTACCTGCTCTCTGGCAATGGTCTGTCGTCTGCTTTCGTCTCCACTTTCTGCCCCCACCCCTTCACCTCCTTTGCCATCTCCTCTGAGCTTCTGACTTTTTTCTGCAGCCTTTCTACTGCTACTTCTTGGCTCCTTCATACTGCTGTCTTTCAGCCACATCCCTGATCTTCCGGTAGCAAAAATCTACACCCAGCCTTCTCGGACAAGGGTGAAAAATCTCGGAGGTCCCTTGTGCAAGTTGCACACGTCAAAAATCCTTTGGGGGTCTACCAGAAAGACCTTATAACACTCAGAAACATTCCCAGCTGCCCGGGAAGTGCAAGTAACTGATTATTCCCTCAAACATCAACAGACTGACAAGATCTCTTACTGCCTATAGCCGGGTGCCCATTCTCCCTTAGTGTGTGAAGTGAGGAAAATTCGCGTTAAGTGCCTACCCCACTGACAACATAACAGACCCCAGACAAGGTTCGAACCCACGGCATTTTGGTTGCAAGTTTATAAGCACTAGATCACCAAAGCGACAGCAAAATACATGTACACGTAAACTATTCATCTCTGTTCTTCCTTTCACAGATGTTCACAAAGAATGCACTATGTCTCATGGTCCTTCTTGCTTTCTTCTACTGCCCGAGTCAAGCGGCCACAGACGGTATTGCTGCTGTTTATTATTATCCCGTTTCTTTGGAGACCGACTATTACTGTGTATTCCCCAAATTAGGCCAAACACTAAAAAATAATAATGTTAAAAAACTGTAAAAATGCAAATCTTCATCTCGCAGAATTGCTCAAAAGTTGTAAAGATTCTTCTTTTTTTATACGCTTATTATAGTATTGCCAATTGTAATTATTGTTGTTCATAGCATAATTTGAGACAAAAAAATTGAGGTATTTTTGCGTGTCTGCGTGTACATGTGTTTGTGTTTGTGTTTGCGTGCGTGTTTATGTGCTAATGTATGTGTATATATGTGTGTGTGTGTGTGTGTGTGTGTGTGCGTGCGTGCGTGCGTGCGTGCGTGCGTGCGTGTGTGTGTGTGTGTGTATGTGTGTGTGTGTGGGAGAGGGTGTGTGTGGGAGAGAGATAGATAGGTAGATAGATAGATAGATAGATAGATAGATAGATGGAC